CATGGGTCACCTTATTTTGTCTGTGCTACAATGCCTTGTTCTAACAGAACAAGACAAGAACATAGATTTGTGAATTTAGGCAAGGCTATCAACTTTATACTACCAATATTCATGCAAATTATACTGGGCCAGGTTCTACCACAATTTCAGTCTGAATTTTGTACCACCTCTCTGGAATCAATGGGATTACCCAGAGAGTACTCAACACAACGTAGACTGGAGCTGGCTCTTTGTTACTGCAATGTTACTGCCAAACAATGATGGCCCCTCTACACATGCAGGCAGGGCTGTTCCTAACAGGGGGCCAATTGGGGTGACTTCCCCAGGCCCCCATGCTTTGGGGGCTGTTCACCCCCCCACCGCCATGTCTGGGGCCCGCAACCTGCTATGGTCATCTCTGCATGCAGGTAAAGGCATGATTGGACTTAATGCATGATCCACGCAATTTCACCTCTTGCTGTGCCACAAATGCATGGCAGGAGGTACTATTGTGGGATTGTGTATTAGATCCAACTGAATCTTATTGCCAGTGTAGGGGGAACCCAATCCTGGGCTCCCCCTGCATCAGCAAGAAGCAGGTTCCCATTGCTGGGAGTCCCCATTGCTAAGGCAGCTCCCAGACATGGGGGCCACGTGCAGGCAGGACTGAGAAACACGTGCCTGACTGGGCTCTCCGTCTGCACAAGCAACTAGGACTGAGAGTCGTGCACCTGATGATGGGGCTCTTGATCCTGCCTGCACAGGTTGCACAGCTGGGACCAAGAGCCCCGTCAGGTGTAGGACTCTCAGTCCTGCCTGCACGTGTGGTGGTCTCTGGGGTTTCATGCACCCCTGAGCCTTGGGGATCGCAGCTGTAATGATTCCCTGGGATTGGGGTTTTCACACTGGGCATGGTGTACCCCTGCAACTGGGAGCCCCATCGGTTGACAGGGCAATGCAGGGGAGACACTGCAGCATGTGCAAATTAAGACTCAGTAGCACCAGCTATAAAGTTAGTACACATTTTCAAGGTTTAACGTAATAGTTAGTTGGAACTTTTTATTGTGTGATAGCTACTTTGTGTAGCTGGTCTTAATTGTGCAGTTAACCAATTAATTGTCCATACCTGTAATGTGTAGAAGGGGCCTGAAAATGTATGCTAAATATTCCCATAACAAACCTAACTCAATTGTGATTATTTATGTTTTGGGGAATATACTTTCTGACATGAGCTCTTCTATGAAACCACACATCGAACCAGATAAACAGGAATAGAAAATAAATAGATCTAGACCACGTGACCTTGTTAATATCAATTTTTGTAACATTCTGTGCTGCATTTCCTGACTTCTTTGATATTTTAATTACGCAAACTTGCTGATACTTGATTTTTTTTTCATATTAGGCTAAACAGTGCATGTTAAATCTGCCCTATATATGGAGAACCATACACTTATCCCATCCCAGAATTATGTACTTGCCAGTTTTCAGGTTTTAAACTGCAGTCACTTTTATTGTCACTACATTCAGTTCAGAAGTGTCTGTTAATGTGCCAGGGAAATATACTGTTCACTCTCCAACAAGACAGGTGAAAACATTTTGTTTTAAGTTTTCAAAAACAATAATACATCTCCACACAAAATCTGCATACAGGATATAGCAACAAAAAGATATTTCTGAAAATGTTCAGTATGAAAAAAGCATGTTATAATGGGAACCTTTGCAACCTTAACGATACAAGTAGGCACTAAACTTTTACACAAATCATGTAGGTAAATGAGAACAACATGAAAGTAAATATGCTGCAAGAAGTTTGTTGCAAAGATAATGGGAGAAGACTACAATACATTATTTATGAAACTTGTATATTCATATTGACTGTAAACTATGAGCCAAATTCAGCTCTCAATGATGGCAGTTTTACCTGCTTACCTCACAGATTAATCTGATCCTGCATATGGAAAACTTTACGCGTATTATTAGCATTTCAGAAAGAGGCATACAACTGGATAGAAAAACAAAGGTAATCGTAAGGGATTGATTCTGCACAGGCTCAGTTACCACTGAAGTCATTGCAATCTGAAGGGGCCCAGCAACTCACAATAAAATCCATATTGATTTTAGTATGAATCTAGAAGCATATAGAACCTGATTTCACACCTACTGAAATAAGTAGCAGTTTTGTTATTGACTTAAAGCCCACAGTGAAAGAAGAACTTAATTGATTAGTGAGGACTGGAAGGTGAGGGATGAAAATGTGAAAACTTTTTCTGCTGGAGGAGAGAACAATTTCACAGAGAGGTTGTCAAACTCATTTGGTTCCTCAGGTCAGATCCGGACTGTAAAAAGCCTCACAGGCTGGATCAAGACCCACCACTACCAGTGGGGTGAGCAGGGGTAGAGTTAACTGCTGCAAGGATTAACGTGCCTGTTGCTTTGCCCCTCCAACAATGACATGGGATCCCAGCAGGACTCCATACACCAGAACTCAGCGCCAGCCCCAGCCCCTCTAGGAGGCCAAATGATATGGCTCCGTGAGCTAGACTCTGCCTGTGGGCTGCATCTTTGATAGCTCAGCTTTATATTATAACCTTTATATTTAAACAACAGTTCCATTGAAACTAGTGGTAATACTGTGGATTGTACTAGTGCAACTTAAACAGCAAAATGATCCTAGTAGACAATAACTTTGCTCACAACAAAACCAGTTAATGTAGTGAATTTATACATGCTTAAGTGAACTGTTAATTGAATGCATAGCTTAGTGAGCTGGGTGCTGCCCAGGCAGAAGGTCCTGAGTTCTGGTCTCATGGGATAGAAGCTACCTATCCATTTTACTCAATTAATATTAAAGTACAAAAATGCCATTTGGGATAGGAACAGGAACTGAAACCAGGACTACCTCCCTTCCAAGGCAGTGCTCATCTTACTGAGTCAAACTCTCCCTAGCTAGTGCTCTTTCTTACCCAACATATCTTTCCTTCTTGGTTGCCCAAACAGCCAACTTCAGAAGGAAGAGAACAGTGCCTACTGGTTAGAGTAGTTTACTGTGAAGTGGGAGATGCATGTTAACCCCCTCTGGCTCAGCAAGGCTTAGAATCAGGGTCTCCCACTCTGGAGGCAAGTGCCCTAATCACTATAGTCATGGACTCAAATATGGAAAAGGCCGCTTGCTCCTCCACTAACAAACAGTTGCTGGTTATAGTTTTATCTGACCAGACTGGGGAAACTGCACACCTATGCAGGCAGAACAGAGCATGTACTGCGATAACAACAAGTCTAGCTGTACAGATGGAAACAGGATCTAAAATCCACATGCATGCCAAAAATGCCTTGAATGAGGCTATATTGAGTGCATAAGTAGGACTTACATGTGTTCAGGTAGTGAAACGTTAACCTGACAAAGTCTAAACAACACTAGAAAAATACTGCCAGGCTTGCTAGACTGATGTGGTGGTACCAGCAAACCCCATGTAGCACAGGAGCAATTTATATCTTATCTCCCCTAACTTGGAAGGAATGAGTTCCTAACTACTGGGCGTGTCTACACGTTCAGTAATGCACAGTGGTTACTGCACATTTAATTTAGTACTTCTATGATCAAGTACTAAATAAATGCACAGTAACCAGAGTGTGACATGAACAAATTAGAACAGCCAAATATGTTAATATTCTTATTCTCTGGGGCCAATTCTTTTTCCTAACCAGAGGACTGCTTGGGTACCCAGTCCCTGACTGGTCACAAAAGAGCAGAAATCAGCTAGTGATCCATTCCAAGCCCTGCAGTACGCAGCAGGAGAGAAGATGAAGGACTTTGTAGCCAGCAAAAGAGGGTTGTGGATGCAATAAGTTTCCAAGCCAACACAGAAGTTTTACACAGAGTACTAAGGAGCACAAAATGCTTAACATTTCCTGCCACTAGACCCTGAACCCAGTTAAGTGAGTCACTCAGGAAAACTCTTCTCCAAGCATGGTTCTTGTAGACAACCTGTGTTGTAACCTCAATCAGTTAGTGCCAGCAGAAGTTATAGTCTCCAGCAATAAAAGCCAAAAGAGGTTACATCAATAAGCTATTTGTTATTTTTTATTTTAAAATTAATATTTGCCAAATCTGTCCTATGCTAGATCTCACTAGGGACTAATCCCTGAGACTGGAGTGAACTTGCAAGAACAAACTTTCTTGAGAGATATGTAAATAAGCTTGGAACATTTTTCTAACAAGTAAAAAATATTTTTCTAGATCTGTAAATCGAAACCAGCCTGTCAGATGTATTCCAAACTGTCCTCAAGAAATTATCTTTTGGCTTAAATTCAAACAAGTGAAAATTAGGACAAAAGGAAGATATTGGAGAAGGCTGGATAGAAAACGGAAGATTTGAACAGAACCATCTTTCAATAAAATCTATGAAGGCATTCTTGTAACACCATAATTTTAACACCTACCCATATGTCTTTGGAATAATCTTAACAAATTGAATAAATAATTAGTATCAACGAATCACAAATACCCTTAAGTAGGAATTGTTACTCAGTTCAAAATATATTACCCTACTCCCTTCTAAATATATTACTAGTCATAACAGTAATACACGTCAATCACGTGTCAAGTTTGCTCAAATGAGATACAACACTTAATAATCATTGAGCTGTAACACTTAGTCACGCAAGTCCTGCCTTCCAATCAAGACTGAAGTACATTTACAGGACACTGTGAAGAAGCCTGCACTCATCACTACCACCGTACTCAATACAGGAATAAAACAGGACTTATTCCCAGTGCCTTAGCCTTCAAGACACTATATTCTTGACTTGAATCTGAAAAAAAATGCAAAGCTACTTTTCAAAGGGGTGCATGGCATCACCCAAAAGGAGAGTTCCTAACACTAAACTCACTCCAATGGAATTCTGTTATATTCTGTACATGGAACCAGTGTAGAAATCACAGCATTATCTTAGTTTTAAATCTGAAATGACAATTTTATAAAGAAATAAAGATATAATTGATATTCAAGCTTATTTACCTGAGACACCACAGTGAGTGTGATCATAGAGATGTCGTTGGTACATGGTAGACTTTTTGTAAATAACATGAGGATGACCATTTTCATAACTAAAATTATTGGAATTTTCAGTTATATTCCTTAAAGGCTCAATAAAATACTCTTCATCTTCTGTAGCAATAACACCATGCTTAAGGGAGAAAAAGGGAGACAAATAAAAGCTGGCAAAAGGCAAAAAATGTAAAATGGTGTCTTTTAAAAAATGATATTTGCAGTGAAGCTTAATTAGTTATTTTTCCTCTGGCAAATCTAGTTGTCCTCCTCTCACTGAGACAAATGGTAAGATTCCCACTGACTTCAGTGGGAATAGGAACAGTCCCCTAAAAGCAAAACAATGGGAAAATAAAGAGAAAAAATATATTGTCTTGTTTTCTTAGCTTTTCCCCCACCATTTCAGGTGGGTGTGGTAAGAGAGCAAGAGACAGTTTGGTGTATAACAAGCAATCACCATCATTCTTCTCATGAAATAATCTATTCACAAAGTTCGTTCAGAATTATATCATAGAATCATGGAGAAGTGCAGCTGGACCCATTAAAAATTATACCAAGCCAAAACCCCTTTATTCAAAGAGTGAATATAGTGTCCATCTATGATAGCATCCCAATAGATGCTTTAATACCATACCACGCATCAAAGGAGAAAAGTTACAAAACAGATTTATTTTAGACAGATATTATTCAAAGTAACTGCTCTGTGTATTCTAACACCACATATGTAGGGTCATATTATTATTATGAACTTAATTTACACTATTTACATGAGACTTTTTAAAACACATATATTCTTCCAAATGTTTAACCATAGATCTTAGGTACATCATCAGTGTTACAAACTATGCATTAACCTGCATTCTCCATTGAAATTGATCATTTTTCTTAAATCTATAATATACAAAGGTAGACTACATATTCTTTATGATTTCCCCATTTGTGATCTTAGATTCTCCCAAACAGGAAGTGGGTTGTAGAAGAAAGGAGAGATTTCATTCCAACTTTATAAATTCATGGATCTTCAGTCAACAATACTGAACTTTAGAAGAAATGCCTGTTTTAGAGACCCACTGAATGTAGAAATACCAGAGAACTGCCCTGACAAGCGTGTTTCCACCACTATATCTGCTAATTTAAAAATTCTCATCCCTACATCAACACTCAAAGCATTATAAACTCTCTACAATATGAGCAAGAGTTAGGTAGAGGTCTGTGAAGCAGAAAGTTCTAAAGTCCAAACCCAGTTCTGTGGTCTTAAACAAATTACCTGGGATCCAGGTTTTCCATTTCCCACGGGAAAACAGAAAAAAAGTGGATTTTCCCTTTTAACAGAGAAGAAAGTGGATTTTTCATTTTAACAGAGATACCCATGGATTTTCCACTTTTGCAAAGAGCTCTCTGCAGGCTGGCAGAGTTTTGCTTCTTGCAAAAAGGGTGGCAAACTCTGAGCCCTGTCCTGAGGGAGAGGGGAAGGGGCAGGGCCTGAGCCCCAGTCATCCAGGGCTTACCTCAGGCTTGCTTTCCCTCATGGAGCCTTTGAGGTAAGTGGGGCTTGCAGGGGGCTGGGGGCCAGCGGGGGAGCAGGGCAGGGGCTGTGGAGTAAGTTAGGGTGACTGCCAGGGCTGGGAGGTGGGGGAGGTTGAGCCTGTGGGAAGAGCCAGTGGAGTAGGTGGGGGCAGGGTGAGGGGGTGTAGGTGGGGGCTGAGGGAGTGCGGAGGTGTCCATGGGAAGCCCCATGTGGAAGGCCATCCCAGCCTGATGGTGCTTGGCTCCCAGTCCATGCACCATTGCACCAGGCTGGCCAGCTCCATGCCTCCACATGGGGCTTCCAGCACACCAGCAGAAAGCTGCCCATGGAAGCAAGGAGCTCACCCAGCCTAATTGCTTGCAGGTCCCATCTGCGGTGCCGCAATCCTCCTGTGCTGGTATTGAGCCAGCCCAATCTGGTCCGAAGACGCAGACCAGTGAGCCAGACTGGCTCCATGCCAGCACACGCAGACCCTAGGACTCAAAGGCACACACCACCAGGTGCTCTGCCTGCCATAGCCATGAGCACCCCAAGGGCCCACTGCCTGCTGCTGCTGAGCCTCCACGCAAACCCCACACCCACCCACAAACCCCACACATACACTCACACCCCCCACACCCCTTTGCAATCCCCCCACAAGCCCCACCTACTCACAAACCCCACTTACTCCCATACCCACACCTCCCAACCCCTTCACAACCCCCCATAAGTCCCACACACACACCCCCTCCCACAACTTCACAAATCCCCCCTACACACACCCCACATGCACCCCCAACCATACAAAGTACCTGTATATATTTCTAAAGAGTGTTCCAATAGTGTTATATTTAATTTGTACAAAAAAATAAAAGTAATTAATTTTGCATAATTTTGAATTTTCCTGCACATAGTTATGAATTTTTCTGCACATAATTTTAAATTCTTCTGTGTATAATTCCCTGGGGTGGATAGAGAGGTCTCAGCAGGAGTTCTGGTTCTCCATGATGAAAAACCCAAAATCAAATGCCAAAATACATAGGTATTTAGAATTTATTTTATTACAGCAATTGAAGAACTGGTAGGCTTCCAAACTGCTTTAAAACTGTACATATATCAATAAAACATTGTGTCCAACTGATACCTATATATATGGCAGCCTTCCATTTTAAGCATGGATTTTGGTCATTTAAAGTATGTTTTTAATTAAAGAATTTGTGATTTGTTTTATCAGATAATTTGAAATTTTTTTATCAGAGAAAACAAGGATCCCTGCAGATTACTCAGGAATTGATCCAAGTCCCATTAATGCCACACACAGCAAGCCAGGAGCGTGCCCTACTCCCAGCTGTACTGAGTGAGGCAATCAGGGAAACTGATCCCCTGAAACCACA